AGAGAAGACCATATTTCTTTATTTTACCCATATCATTAATTACTTATTTCACAAATCAGTTCTCAAGACTTTTCAAAATACTATCATTATTATGGGTACTATGGTAAAATATGCGCCTCATTTATTATTTCTTAAGGCGCGTGCAAAGTACATTGTGGACAAGTAAAAGTGAACGAAGTGAGTACATACTGATTTGATCATCGTACTTGAGACTTCTTTACTCTTTTTGGAAGGGTATTCTATTTTTTTGTTTAAAAAAGTTATATCAGGTTAGAGATAAAGTAATTGAGTGCGAGGAAAAATTGATAAAACTCCTTACAGTTTACTGCTAAAAGAGTGAGTTCACTTAACCCATAAATCTCACAACAGAACAATCACTGGTCTTTTGAACACAACTGCCAATTACCTTCAGAGGAGAGGAGGGTTATCAGGAGCCAATGCCTCAACCACAAATTGTGGTCCAAGCGCTGAACCACGGATTCCAACAGAAAGAATTTGCATAAATCGGCTACCAGAAGGAGTCATGATCTGCAAAATAGATGTTGTAATTGGCATTATGTTGATTAAAGCGCTTAACATAACAACCAATAACCAATTTTAGAAGTGGCAAAATATGCCTTTGGAGGATAAACAGATAATAACTCAGAAAAAGTGCCTTCACAACTTAGAAGTTTGAAACCAACATTACACTTCTAAACTTAAATATTTCCTAGGCTTATCTCTGAGGAAATTAGTCTACTATTCCTATGGCTTTTATCAACTGGCAACTCATGCCAGCAGCTCAAAGTTTGATCTGAGTAAAAGCCATCTTTGTATCAAGTTACAACATGTTACGATCCAAAATCTCATCACAGGCGTCGTGATGACACTTAATCTCTAAAACTAGGTAAGCCGATTTCAATTACATTTTAAAGTTTTTTTTTTTTTAACTAACAGCGAAAATAATTACAATAGACAACCTCCCAAAACTGGTAGTATAGAATCACGAACTCTAACTGAATACATGGAATGATCACGAGAACCGAATATACAATACTATTTGATTACAAATTAACAGTACAATGAAATAAAAAGACTCCAAGGGACTGCGACGACTAAGCAGCTCTACCTTGAATCCTTACGATCCCGCTTTAACTCTGCTCAAGTCCGATGTCTCCAATACCTGGCTCTGCACAAAAATGTGCAGAAGTGTAGTATGAGTACACCACGGTCGGTACCCCATAAGTATCAAGACTAGCCTCAGTGGAGTAGAGATAAAGTGCAGTCAAGACACTCACTAGTCTAATAACCTGTGCAATATAATATACAAAATAATAGAAAACAAATAACAATAAGGGCAACATAAAATAACCAGTGATGTGCACAGTAAGACAATAAAATCACCATTAATATCGCTCAATAATTGATAAATACATTTACACCTAGTTAAATCAAGTTCTTCAATTAAATATCTTTCACACATAATTCTTACGAATAAAACTCTTTTTCAAATATAATTTCCTCAAATAAACATCTTTCGAATATAAAATTCTTTCAATAAATATCTTCAAATATAATTTCTTTAAATAAATATCTTTCAAATACAATTCTTTCATATAATTCTTTTTGAATAAAAATCATTCCAAATAAATATTTTGAATATAATTCTTTCAATTAAAAGTCTCATGTGACGCCTCATTTCAAAATCATAAAAATATGAGTCTCGACCCATTTTTATATTTTTCATAAACACGGGTCTCAGCCCATTTTTCATGTTTCCACGGCACCTCGTGCCCATAATTAAATCACCATACTTCACCGGCACCTCGTGCCATCATTTCATATCATAACTGCACGGACAATTCACGTGCCAAATATCATTATCATTTCATCACATCACCTCGTACCCACATTTCATATCTCAACTGCATGGACAATTCCCGTGCCAAATATCCTCATTATTTACTCACGGCACCTCGTGCCCACATTTCATTTTATAATCCGCCTAGCCATAGCCACAGGCTCTCAATTTCAACATAAATCAGATTGTTATTAATTTATCAACAACAAGACAAATTGCACAAGGTATAAAAATAAACACAAGAAAATCACAACATCACATGAAAATCATCAACACCACAACCCCACATCATCACATATCGTCTCTGACAATAGCCACCCTTATCGCTCTTATAGCCACCCTTATCACTCCGCCCAGACAATATCAATAGCCACCCTTATCGCTCCTATTGCCAACCTTATCGCTTCTATTGCCAACTTTATCGCTCCGCCAAGACAATATTCCAACAACACAACAGTAAAATGCCACCTTTATACTCACATAATATCAACGGTGAAATGCCACCATTATCTCCTCAAAATAATAATTCACATAACACAACAATTTACACGACAAGTTATCACGGCAACATAACAAAATCAATTCAAATTACAGTTTGCTCAATGGCCATAACAAATTCCAAGGATATAACAAAATCAATTAATTTCACAACAAATAGCCAAAAGCTCCACACAATGTGTACAACACCCAAACACAACCAATAAAGATAGAAACTAGTCAACATAAAGCAAAGTTTACATTAAATTCAAATTTTTAATAATTATATAAACACCTCTTCTTAAGCTTATTTAATTAATTATTTGCAGAGGAAAAATCCATAATGAAATTCAATTCCAATAATTATCAAACCAACAAATCACAGAATTACATAAATAATCAAGTAACAATCACATCAAATTGTCATATAACAACAGATTCAACAACAAGAAGGATTTAGGCACGACAAATAGATGATTAAATATATACCAATAATTACCCAATTTACCACACAATATGCTCAAGACTTTAACTCAATAAAATTTTACACATATAGGCCGAGTACGTACTCGTCACCTCGCGTACACGGCTTTTCATATTTCACAAATGGCACATAAGAC